TGAAATGTTTAGACAAAAACCATGCTCCAACCAAGCATGACAAAAACCAAAAAAACCCAACCATCAACCCCCTCCCCAACAAACTGGTCTCAAATTGACAATAAAGGCCCACTATAGCCCAGATCAACGGTGATCAGGTCATTAGGTCCCAAGACCCCTCACTAGTATGAGATGGTATTAGAGGAAGCTGAGAAGAGATTGCACAACTGCCCAGCAGGAATAAGGCCATGTCGGGAAGAGTAATGAAGCACATTTATGTGCATCCGTAAGGTACCAATCAAAAATAAATGAAGACCAGCACATGCCTGTAATCCTAGTGGCTTAAGAGGCTAAGGCAGGAGGATTACAAGTTCAAAGCCAGTCTCAGGAATTAGCAAGGACTTGAGCAACTTATCGAGACCCTTCTCTAAATAAAATATAAGGACTGGGGATGTGGCTCAGTGGCTAAGCGTCCCTGGGTTCAATCCCTGGTACCACAAAAATAAAACAAATAAATAAGTAAAAGGAAGACCAGAAGAGGAAGAAGAATGTGGGGAGGGAAAAACAGGGATATCAGTACTGAAATGGAGTAAGTCAAATTCCATACATGTATGATTCTGTCAAAATGAACCTATTATTTATAACTATAATGCATTAAAAAACCCACAAAACAACTGTGCGCTAGATGAACTTCTTTTCTCCAAAAGTATCCAGCCTCAAATATTTCGACATAGCAATAGAAAATCAAACTACAGACCAGAAGAAATAAAAATGAACAGAGCCACAGGTCCTATGGGACTATGACAAAAGACCTAATGTTCTAGTCACTGGAGTTCTAGAAAGATGGGACACATGTCTAAAATTTTCCATACTAATCAAGACATAAAACTACATATTTAAGATGCTGATTAGTGTCAAATCAATTCAATGAGGGAACAGTCTTTTCTACACATAATATTGGAACAACTGGTATACATGTACAAAATACACAAAAACTTGTACCAGACACAAAAACTAACTTAAAAAGGAAGATAGAGGTAACAGATAAACATTATAGAACTCTTAGAAGAAAACATCTGAGTAAATCTTTGTGATCTTGGGTCAGTAAACACCTTTTTAGACATGACACCAAAAGGAAAAACTGATAAACTGGACTTGATAAAAAAATAAAACTATAGAGTGCTTGCCTAGCATGTGCAAGGGCCTGGATTCAATCCCCGGTATTACAAAATAAAATCTACTGTGTTTCAAAGGACACCAAAAACATCTATGAGAATAGCAGAAAATATTTGTGAATCATATAGCTGATAATGGGGTTATATCTGCAATATATAAAGAATTCTTCTTCTCCTACCCCCCAGGAGAACTAGAGATTATTAAACCAGGAATCTACATATGCTAGTCAAGTGCTCTAACACTGAGCTACATCCCTGGTCCTTTTGTTATTTTGAGACTTATAAAGTTGCCCAGGCTGGACTCAAACTTGACATCCACCTGCCTCAACCTCCCGAGTCACTGAGATTAATAGGAATGAGCCACAATGCCCAGTTTATATTAAAAACTCTTACAATGCAACAATAAAAAGATAATGCAATTCAAAATGGGCATCTGCTGGGTGTGGTGGTGCATACCAGTAATCCCAGCCACTTGGGAGGCTGAGGCAGAAGGATTGCCAATTTGAGGTCAAGCGTGACAACTTAACAAGACTCTGTCTAAAAATGAAAAATAAAAAGGGCTGAGGATATAGTTCACTGGTACAGTGTCCCTGGGTTCAATCCCTAGTACCTGCCTTGCCCCTCCAAAAAAGCAAAGGATCCGAGCAACTTATCGAGACCCTTCTCTAAATAAAATTTAAGGACTGGAGATGTGGCCCAGTGGCTAAGCGCCCCTGGGTTCAATCCCTGGTACCACAAAAATAAAATAAATAAATAAGTAAAAGGAAGACCAGAAGAGGAAGAAGAATGTGGGGAGAGAAAAACAGGACACTGAATAGAAATTACCCAAAGAACATATACAAATGGCCAATAAACACTTGAAAAGATGGTAAACATTAGCCATTAGAGAAATGCAAATCAAAAAGCATCTGATAAAAATAACTTTAAGTTCATAATAAATACTATACAAGTTAGGAACAGCCTGGTAAATGACATCTACAAAATTCCTATAGCTACCATCATATTTCATAATCCAAACTGAATATTTTATCTAGAAATTAGCAACAAGGAAGGATTGTTGACTCTTCACCCACTTCAATGTTGTGTTGAGGCCCCTAGCCAGTGCAAAAAGGTATAAAACAGAAACACAAAGTGTATTTTTATTTCCAGTCTATAGACAGGAAAGTAAGAAATACAACTATTTGAGACCACATGCTCATCTATACAGAAAACCCCAAAGTATTCTCAAAAACAAAAACAAAAGCGAGGCATGGTAGTACGTCAGTAGTACCAGCTACTCAGAAGGCTGAGGCAGGAGGATTACTTGAGATCAAGGAGTTTAAGACCAGCCTGGGCAATACTCTGGGTTATCTACAGATGTGGCTTTTTCAGTGCTTTCATCTGTCACTGGCAAGACTGTTGTACCTAACAGGACCCCAGGGAGAGGTATTGTAGCCACCAGACTGTGAAGCAAAGCTTTCTGAGTAGAATATTTAAATTACATGAGAAACCACATAACTACACCATGACCACATCACATTTCTCCACTGTATGTGCCAAAGATACATGAGTACCTGTCCAAGGCCTGGGTTATACATTAACCCAGGGCCACCCCCTCATCCAGGCTAAGAATTTACTCAAACCTTTTTCAGGGATTGACACGCATTCATTGGTCTTTGGCTTCCTATTCCTTAAAATAAGTATTTAAAGTCTTTGGTGCCTCTCCTATTTTTTGGACTTGAAGAGATTACTAAACAGATCCTGCTATCATAGTTTCCTGGGATTTACCTGAGTCTAGAGACTCATGGAAAATTCTCTCTCTCTATTTTTCAGCTGTATTTACTCTTCTTTCCAGGGCTTCCAATCCATCTGTATTATCTTTTATTTTTTCTTCTTTGACTACTACTTTTTTATTTTAGTACTGGGGATTGAACCTAGGGGCACTCTACCACAAGCTATATTCCCAGCCCTTTTTGTTATTTTTTATTTTGAGACAAGGTCTTGCTAAATTGCCCAGGCTACCTTGAACCTGCAATCTCCTGTCTTAGCTGCATGAGTCACTGGAATAATAGGCATGCACCACCACTCTTGTTTTTCTTTTATTGTTTTTTTTTTTTCCAGATTAAAGACCATTCTCCTTATTAAACATTCTCCTATTAAGATTTCAATCTCTACCTATTCTATTCTTGTTTATTTCTTTAAAATACAGAGTTCAATACATATACAAACTATGAAAATCCACATGCTAAATAGAGTTTGAGCCTAGAATAGTAAGGCATGCTTGTAATCCCAGTGATCTGGGAGGCTGAAGCAGAAGGATTGCAAGTTTGAGGCCAGCCTAGGCAACTTAAGAGAGCACAACCCTGTCTTAAAATAAAATTTAAAAAATGATAGGGGATGCAGCCCAGTGATAGAGAGCTCCTAGGTTCAATCTCCGGTACTACCAAATAAATAAATAAATTTTATAAAAGGATGGATCTGGACTCAAGCCTATATAAGAATTAACTGGAAATAGTTCAAACTATTAAACTACTAAACCTAAGAGTTAAAACTATAAAACTTTTAGAAGAAAATAGGGCAAAAACTTCACAACATTAGATATGACAACGATTTCTTATATATTATATTAAAGACAGACAACAAAAGAAATAACCAACTGGATTTCATGACAAAAATTTTGTGTAACAAAAGGCACTAACAGGGTAAAAAGTTCACAGAATAGGAGGTCTGTAAATTGTATATCTGATAAAGGATTAATATCTATAAAATAGGGGCTGAGGCTGGGGCTCAGTGGTAGAGCACTTGCCTAGCATGTGTGAGGCACTGGGTTCGATTCTCAGAACCACATATAAATAAATGAATAAAATAAAGGTACATGCATCTAAAAATTTTTAAAAGTCATACAACTCAAAGACAAAAAAATAACCAGATTAAAATAAAACACTTGATGAGAATATGAATAACTGGAACCCTTGTGCACTGTTGGTAGGAATGTGAAGTGAAATAGCCACAGGGGAAAATAGTATAGTATTCCTCAAAAAGTTAAAAATGGGCCTAGGGCTGGGAAGATAGCTCAGCTAGTAGAATGCTTGCCTTGCATGCACAAGGCCCTGGCTTCAATCCCCAGTATCACCAAAAAAAAAAAAAAGAAGAAGGGCCTATTATATGATGTAGCAATCCCACCTCTGATTGTATAACCAAAAGAACTGAACGCAGGGTATTGAAGATATGTTTGTATATCTATGTTCATAGTAGCATCATTTTCAATACTAAAACATGGAAGCAACCTAAATATCCACTGATGAATGACTCCATAAGCAAAATGAGGTATATTTATGCAAGAGTATCATTCAGCCTTGGGGGCTGGAGCTGTGGCTCAGCGTTAGAGTGCTTGCCTAGCACGTGCGAGGCACTGGGTTCGATCCTCAGCACCATATAAAAAATTTAAAAAATAAAGATATTGTGTCCAACTACAACTAAAAAATATATATATAAAAAAAATTCAGCCTTGAAAAGGAAGGAAATTGTGACACATGCTACAATATGAACGGATCTTGAAAACATCATAGTTAGTGAAATAAGACATCATATACTATGGTAAATAAGAATGGATAATAAGCTGTTATAGGACCCCAGTTCCTTAAACAAAGAGAAAAACAGCCGCCTGAGTGTCTATGGGTCTAAAAAGGAAACATTTTAGAAGAATAATGCCATCTTAAACAAAATCTCTCTAATTAAAAATAAAAAGTAGTTTTCTGTGTTGTCCAAATTTGTAGCAACAGACATATCTTTATAATTAGAAATAGTGAATATTCTAAACAACCAAGAGAACCCTCAGGAGAGACTGATTAGATCCTTGGTAGGTACCTGGTTGTTGACGACCACATGCACGGTGCCATGGGTGGTGTAGGATGGCAGATCGCTGAGGTGGAAGGTCTCGTACACAATGCCTTGGCCAGCAAAGGCAGCATCCCCATGCAGGAGGATGGACATTACCTGCAAAGCAGACTCCAAATGTAACACATCTTGACCACAAAACTCACAAGGTAAGTGGAGGAAATCAGTCATAATTTGCTTTTCAAAAATAATGTTTTGAGATATTTTAAAACTTAGAAAGTGGCAGGAGAGTACAAAGGACTCCAGTCCCTTACTCACCCACCTTCCTAACACCTTGGTACATTTGATACTCATCTACAGAGCCCTCAATCTTGTCATCACCTATTCTGAACATGGGAAGAGCCACAGAGCCAGTCAATTCTCAGCACCCCCTCAGAACATTCTCCTACACACCACTAGACCCTCCCATTCCCAAGAGCAATGCTGGCCACACCCACTTACTTCAGACCCCATGGAGGATGGGCTTACACTTCTCCCTCATATACTTGGTTGTAACACCTCTTTGGCTGCTGAAGCAGCACCTGTATTAGATGGGTTAACCCTGGTCACCTAATCAAGTCACTACCTGCCATTTCCCCTTAACTCACCAACTTCTTGGCAGTGAGTACAATGGTAGTATTTTATAAGGAGCAAACAGTATACAAAACATGTCCTCCTCATACCTCACACCCCCATCCCAGCTTCAGCAGCACTGACTGGTCTACCTAAGCCAGTTCCTTGGGTGGCTAACTGATGCGACTGCTGATTTCTGTTACTCCTACATATACTGGCATTCTCTGCAAGAAAGAACTTACCCTTCTCCCTCATATACTTATCTGTATTAATACATATTTATGTCTCCTATTTTGACAGGTTGTATGTAATAGATCAAAACCATTAGTTATTCAGATGATTGGGTTTTTCCAGCTGGCTCCAGTGTGCTCTGGGTAGCCTGTCTTCAGGGTACCTCCTTGCTTTCTGGAACAATTGTACTGCAGCCTCATACTATGCTATCCCTGTCCAATCCTGATTATTCCTGCAGAATATGAGATTTAGGACCAATACTTGTATGTTTTCACTAGGCCCTGTGAGCACAGAGCTAGAAAACACGGGGTATGTATGCATGTGTGCACACACACACAGGTTATTCCTGTATCTGTATGTATATATAAAACAAAATGAGCTCATACTAATACTTCCAAATTCCAACACATTTTTCTAAGCTGCCTCCTTCCATGCTTATCAACACCTCCAGCGGCCAGGCACTTCACTCCCACTGACTATAGCAAATGTGTTCAGTATCCTTGAGAACCCCTGCTTCTTGGATATACATGCTGTGCCTTTCCCAAATCTTTATATTAGTGAGGGTTCTTCAGAAAAATGAGCCAGTGGAGCTGGAGGCAGGTGGAAAGATTGCCTGACTTGAAGGAACTGGGCAAGCATATTCAAATTCTACAAGGAAGGGCAGGCTGAAGACCCATGTGAAGATACAATTGGAGGCTGCCAACTAGAGGCAGAATTCCTGCTTTGGAACTTCAGTCTTTCTTCACAGACTATGAGCTGAGCAGATGAGGCCCACCCACATTGTGGAGAATCATCTGCTTTACTCAAAGTCTGCTGATTTAAATGTGAATCTTGGGCTGGGGATGTAGCTCAGTGGTATAGTGCTTGCCTAGCATGCTTGAGACATTGAGTTCAGCCCCTAGCATTGTGGTGGTGGGGGGAAAGTGATGAGTGTCTGGCCAATAGGTGACACAGGACACTGCCCCCTCACACCCTCTCATGCTGTGTCTCTGCCTATGGGCCTATGCCTCTAGAGTTTCCCATCACTACCCTGGTCATCAGCACTCTGCCAAGTTCTCCTTGCCAGGAAGGGAAGGTCCATTATTTGATTACCAGGGAAAAAAATCTAGAAATTTTTTAAGCAAAATGGCATATGTTCTATGTTTTGGTGGAGGTAGTGGATGGTCACAAGATAGTTGGACAATGCACAGTGTCCGGTTTGCTCAAGGTGCCCTTGAGAGTATATAGCTTTGTCACAATGTCCAGATTGTTCTTGTTGAAAGTAAAAGCAGCTGGTATTAAATTTCACTTGCTCCTGATTCCCAAGAGTGCTGTTTCCTCCTGCAGATATTTTTCTGTATAAACTCCATCTCTGCTGACGAGGGTACCTGAGGTCAGTCTCCTTCACGTGATGTTCTACCATGCAGCAGCAACCAACCAGAATCACCCTATACACAGGTGAGGACTCTCCTTGGGTCTAGAGGCCTGGCACACTTCCGGATTCTCCTTTTGCATAGATCACACCATTGCTCTAAAGACATGCTTCCATGGACACACATCCCAAAGTTCACATTAGTATTGGGAGTCAAATCAGGTGAGTTTCACAACAGTGCACAAGGTTATGGAACAATCTAGGCCCCATTTACATGAAGTATGTAATTTTTCACAACACTGAGGGTTATATAATACACACACTAGTTTCCTGAGTTGTGAATTGAACAGAAATTGAATTATTAGAAGCAGGGAGAATAGGCAGGAGGATGAGACTTCTGTTGATGCTACTGAGGACATGCAAGGGTTTGGGACAAGGTGGATACAACTCAGAAGAAAAGCTGGGGCCAACTACATTGAGGTCAGACAAAACATGCATATAGACAGTACCACATCCTAAAACACAGGCATTGATAGCTCAGACTTGGATACATGTAGGTGTGCAACCGAATGGGGGCTAGCTATCCTCCTTGTTCTGACATCACAAAAGGACCAATTACTGTGACCACAGGTAGCAATTTTAAATATCAGTTGTCACTTTTTCTGTTATTTGATTCCTTTTCAAGATATCTCTAGCACACAAAGCTTTTTGCAAACTTGTCCCATTACTCAGCATGCTAGCAAGGTCATGGAACTGACACTGGTCACCCCAACGCTGGTCTGCCATGATAATTTCTCCTGGGACCAGCCCCTACCAGACATCCCAGTGTTGTAAAGTGGATGTGGGGGCTGCATGTCTCTCAACAGAGCTGAGGCCTCTCTGTCTTCATGTTCCTGTGGCTTCAACCAGACCATGAGTAACCTTGAGCCTGAAGCCATAGAATAATCTTTGGGTTCCTGTGACAGCAAATATCATCAATGAGTAATTGCTTCTAGCTCTCAAAATCACCTCAGCCTGCTCTACCTCCATTCTCTAAGCTTCCAAACTTAACATTAATAGATTTACAGTATTTTAAATTGCAGAACCCTAGGAAACTAATCCTTGGTTTCACTCTATCAAAAGGCCTGTCCTCCCTCCTAGGCACCTTAACTGACCTGCTGCTCTGGTCCAATCTACCCTCCACCTCTGCTTGCACTTCTCATTTCAACAGAACGTTCTTCCCTTCCCTCCTACTTAAATTCTGCCATTGCTTCAACTAAACAGGACAAACACCTGTTCTATCAATAAGGAATCTGACTGCCTTTTATTCCTTACCCAACTAGAGTCCACTGCTATCACTCATCTTCTTAAGTTCTTTACAGTTATTCTGCAGTTTTGTTTTACATTGCATTTTTTTATCTTCCAGCATTAATTTCTTATATATATTTGATTAAAAAAGCAATATTAAAATTATGAACACTTTTTAAAATATAGAAAGGTATATATGAGAAAGTAAAAACCCCATTATCCTACTACCCAAGAGCAAGTAGATTCATATATGTGTGTTTCCGTGTGTGTACATGTAGGTACATGCTCACATTGCATTCTTCTATTAGCTTCTTGATACATATTCTTTTTCTAAAAATACAAGAGAGCCTTGAGAGCACGTTGGTGGTACTACTTCACATATCCACAAGAAAGCACATAGTAGATATTACAAATATTTGATTTTTCTGATTATTTGATATTTTGGTTGGGATCTTAATGTTTCCCAAAAGCTCATGTGTTGAAGGCTTGGTTCCCAGCTGAAGGTACTATGGGGAAATAGTGGAAACTTCAGGAGTGGTAGGTACCTAGTTAGAAGAAGCAGGTCAGTATAGGAGTGCCCTTGAAGGGTATGCTGGGATCCTGGACCCTTCATTTTTTCCTAGCTGCCATGATGTGACAGCTTTCCTTTGCCATGTGCTTCCCACCATGCTGTCTACCTTGTGTGGTGATGGATTGAACTCACGAGCCAAAATAAACTTTTCTTCTTTACGAGTTGTATATCTCAGGTATTTCTGTCACAGCAACAGAGAGTTGTCTAACACACTTGGTTTTCAGATCATCATTTAAATAATAAGAACTATACAATTTGTTACAAATAAGAATTTTATCCTGAGTTTAAATAAGGGCAAACAGTTGCCTATGGAGGGATTCAACAAGAGCAGGCTGGCCAGCCAACATTCAGTATTCACTGTCACCCGTAGGAAATGCCAAGGCAGGACCCCACCTGTCCTTAGAGCTATATCCACCTCCAATGTTGTATGGAGCACTCTCTGATATCTGTCAGTCCTACACTTTCTCCTTTAGGTTCACCCACACATTTTCCTTTCAAAGACTTTTCTTTTCAGTGAAAATGTCTTTTTCCATCAATGGTAACTAACACTGACTCCTCTAGACATGGCGAAGACATAAGCCAACTTCTTGTCTAGTTCTGATAGTTATAACTTGGGAGAAAGTATGTCTATAGTAGAACTGCTTTATTTACTACTGTTACTCTTTTTTAAAAAATTGGTTTATAGTATTTTAAAATTCCAGAAACTTGTGTTTCTTGGAGTTGGGGCATGTGTGAGACATGTCCAGGTCTCTAGCTACAGTGGTGAGCGGAGCTGTGTATAATGTTGGGCTCAAGGGACATGCCTCTTAGGTCTTGGGGGGAGGGGCTCACCTTTTTCCCTTCAGTGTCTCCACAATAGAACTGCTCAGCTTTGGTCTTGCCCATGACCACAGGATCAGCAGCCTCCAGATGGGAAGGGTTTGCCACCAGGGACAGGGTGATATTTCGGTCAGTCACCCGATTGATCCTGCGGTGATACATGCCCAGGTGATACTTCATGTCTCCGGAACCCTGACAATGCAAACAATAAATAAGTCTGATGCCAGGAGATGGTCACTTGTCATGATAGCCCTTCAGATGGATTTCTACAACCTGGACCCTACTATGGGAGAATGAGGCAGCCTTTTCCCAAGATTATCCCACCCAGGGCACAAGGAGAGGGCCCCCCAATCAGAGGGGATGTTCTCAGCCTCAGGAAGAGGAATGTGGGGCTGCCCAGGGCTGGGGTGGGGTGGCAGCATTGCCTTCTAATGAGGAAGGCAAACTGCAAATGATTCCAAAGAGCTATGATTCCACTAAGCCTGAGAAACCACTGGAGCTAGGAGATCCCATGTGGATTCAGGATACCATGCTGGATGTGTTGTCATGTGGGAATCTCACCTCATCCGCTGCCTCCAGCTTTGAATCGAACTGACAAAAAATCTGCTCCAACTCCTTCCTGATGACATTTGCAAGCACGTTCAGCCGTCCCCTGGCACACAGGGCAATGTAAGTAGATCCTTAGGACACAGCTACTCCATCCCCTCTTTTCACCCAGCATCAGGCACTTCCTTGGTTTGCAGCCCCAAAATAGTTGTGATCCAGAGCCAATATGGGAACTAAGCCCCTGGCCTCTAGGCATGCAAGGTCACTCTACATGGGCAGCAGAAAGTATATAAATGCCTCTGGCCTCTGGCCACATTCCCCTCTATCTTTTTCTTCAAGCTAGACCCTTCCAAGGGCACTGGGGTTTAACTTTTATAAAATTCAACACAAAGCCAAACATCAGTCTGAACCACATGTGGCCTTGGCTGTGAGAGTGACTTTCTAGTTACACTGACACAGGGGTGCAAGAACCCTACAGACCAAGACACTCTCATGTATCCCATGCATCCTCAGCTCACTGACAAGCACTTGAGGAAGCAGCTGCTCACTTAGGGTCCCCACTTCTGTGCTTCCAACATACCACAGAGCCCAGAGGTACCTGTGTGGCATTCCCATTATTACATAGTCCACTCCATTCTCACTCGACTTGTCGATGATGGTCTTAAGGGCGGGGATCAACACTTCACAGCCTTCTAGACCAAAGCGCTTCTCTGAAGACCACTTTCGGTGCAAGAATTCCTCAAACCTGGACAGGGAACCAAGCACCTTGAAGAGCAATGTCCCCAGGGTCAGTCCCAAAGTCACATTTTCCTAAATAATCAGAAAGTCCTTCAGAAGCCAATTATACTTGCCTGGATTTCCTTTCATGTACATGCAGCTGTGGCTACCACCCCCACATCTGCCCACCCTGGTAGAAAGGCCCACAAAGGCCACACCCCACAGATGGGCCATAGATACCCTGAGAGCTTATGCTCTATACCATACCTCGTGGACCGCACAAGCCTGGCCAGCAGGGTCCGTTTCTCCTCATTGGTGAACTGCATGATTCCAGGGGTCTCAAACTTCTGCCTGATCCACTGGCATTGCTCTAAGTCATTAATGAACATGAATTCCACTCCAATGTGCTGGCAGTAGGCCATCTGTCCCCCCACCACAAACAAGGGATACAGTCATTAATGAACATGAACTGTATACCACTGTGCTGAATAGGTCATTTGCGTACCCTCCTATGCCCCAGAAAAGGCATGTTTAACTAAGCACATAGCTGGATGATGAGTACCAATTGCCCACTCACCCAGAAAGCTGGGGAGGAGCTGGTGTGATCAAGAAGGCAAAGGTAGAGTGGGTGCAGTTATTGAGCAGCAAAGCAAACAGGCCCTAATATGGCCAGAGAGACTTCCCTCCTGGATGTCTTCATAGCCACAATAGCCATTATGGCCCCAGCACTGAGAGTCCCAGCTTTTGGGTCAGTGGCTCACAGCTGTGACCCTATTTGGTTTTCATTTAAAAAAAAAAAAAACTGGCTGACACAGGCAGTTAAAAGACTTGCTGGATATGGGGTCAGGTGCCTGTTCTCTTCAGGGTGGAGGTCAAAAACAGACTGCCTGGTGGGGTGCAGGGATGCGTGTCTATAATCCCAGTGACTTGGGAAGCTAAGGCAAAAGGATCACAAGTTTGAGGCCAGCCTCAACAACTTACCGAGGCTACGCAACTTACCTAAGCAACTTGGCAGACCCTATCATGAGATAAAAAATAAAAAGAGCTGGGGGTACAGCTCAGTGGTAAAGCACCTGAGTGTTCAATTCCCAGTAACATTAACAAATGAAATAGAAAAAAACCCAGACGGCCTTAACTCACAAGTAAGGCCACCCACAATATTCTAGTCATTACTCAAAGTGAAAAGAAGGAAAATCATACCTAGAAATCAAAAGAAAATGATGCTGGGAAAATTCCTGGTTATTTAAGGTGTTTGTTTTGGTACTGGAAATTGAACCCAGGGCTTTATGCATGATAAGTAAGTGCCCTCCCTCTAAGCTACACCCCCCAGCTCTTTTTACTTTGAGACAGGTTCTCACTATTGCCTAGGCTGACCTGGAACTTGGAATCCTCCTGCCCAATTCTCATGAATAGCTGGGATTACAGGTGTGTACCACAGTGGATGGCTTTTAAGGGACTTTGATTAATCCCAAGCCATACCTTCTAATGACATCTAAGATGATAAAACTGGAAACTTCTAATTAAATGAGATGCTATCCCTAATCTCAGAACTGACATCAATCCACTGTCCCATCTCACCTTTGATTAATGGAATTAATTTTTCTGGGACCCAGCAGAAGAAAGTGTGCCTTTGTAGAAACAATTCCAGAGAGGCTACTAATGCCAACTGTCACAAAGGCATAAGCATGCTTTCTTCTGCTGGGGTCCATGTGAACAGCACACCTAGCAAGTAGCTCCCTGTCCACTTCCTCATCCTGAGTGGCCAGCTGGTAAGGAGTGCTACGGAGGGAGAACTCTTACCTTTGTCACTACTGTACCCACCTTCACATAAAATACAGAATTATGGGTCAGGGTTGTGGCTCAGTGGTAGATCGCTCGCCTAGCACAGGCGGAGTGCTAGGTTCGATCCTCAGCACCACATTAAAAAAAATAATAAAGGTATTGTGTCCAACTACAATTAAAAAACAAAATATTAAAAAAAAAACACAGAATCATATTTAGGGCATTGCTCAAGCCCCTACTTTCTTTCTTTCAATAGGCATGATTTCCATTACTGAACAATTAAAAGCTCAGAGGAAACTGCTGTTTAAAATCTCTAGCTGAGTGCAGTGGCAAACACCTGTAATCCCAGCTATTCGGGAAGCTGATGCAGGAGGATTATAAGTTGAAGGCTAACCTTAGCAACTTTGCAAGTCCCTATCTCAAAATAAAAAAAGAAAAAGGATAGGGGTATAGCTCAGTGGTAGTCATGGCTGGGGTTCAATTCCCAGTGCTGTGCAAAGGAAAAACAAAACAAAACAAAAAAACACACACCTCTAGAAATTGGTTTCTCTTTGATGTTATCAGCACCATTTTTCTTAACTTAGAAAAGATTCTAGCCAGTGGATCATGTGTTTTTCAATGTCTTTGGCTTAATACTCTGGAGTCAAGGGTGGCGAGTGCTGGGTGCTAATTCTTACTTTTACTCTCCAGTTAGACAAATCTAGGAAGCCAAGAAGTAGCACTTCCTCTAATTTTTTTCAAAAGTTGCAAGATGACCAAAGATTATATCACAACCTAACACACACACACGCGCGCGCGCGCACACTCTCATATCAATGTAAATGAAGCATCACCATCAGGCAAGGTGGTGAGGGGTTTATGCACATGACCATATTCTATGCTTAGTGTACTCTGGGGACAATATTTGCTGTGGACTGGACCTTCTGGAGTTCAGGTTGAAATGTCCCAGACAGGAAAAAGCTTAACACCAGAGTTCTGTTCATCAGCTGTGCAGAAAGGAAGGCATCCTTTGAACATGCTGTTTGATCTCTACTCCTTCATACTATGGAATCAGAACTACTCAGGACTCAGGATACAGTGGAAGTTGACTATAGGGGATTTTACAACCTCCCATCCCTGATTATGCTCTTGGGAAGGAAGGTGTTGAGGGGCCTTGGAAGGAAATGGAGACACTATGGCTTGTTCTGGGATATAGCTTTCCAACCACAGAGCATACCTAAGGAGCAGATGCTGAGCTTCTTATTCAGACTCCTGGGAAGAGAAGGGAACTCTTGGTGTAGATGGTTATCATCTGACTGCTGTCCTGAGAGGACCAGATCAACAGGAACAACAACAGGGAATAGGATGGGACATGTGTGCATCCAAGGTACTAGGGGGCAGGGTCACTTGGAGGATGACTGGTGTATGGGGCACTATCTGTGGGGACTAGGTGACAGGAGAACTTCCAGATCAGCAATAATGTGAACTACACACTGCTTAATAAACAACCTAAAAACCTTAGTAATTTAAGCTTTCCTGGTAGAAACAAATGGAATTAATTTTTCTACTTTATTTGACCCAATATATTAAACATATTATCTTTTTAATACTGAAAAAACTATTCAGATATTTTGCACCTTCCAAGTACTCAATAGTTATTAGTGGCTTGTGACTCCCAAGCTGAATAGGACAGGACCAGAGTGTAAGGTCAGTGCAGTGATGGTAGTACCAGTCAATGGGAGGACTCAAAGTCAGTTCACCTCAGCTGAGCCTTACACTTTCCCTCCATTGACCACTCTTTCTGGATGACTTCTCCCTCCTGATGCTGGCACTGAAGTATGGTTTCTACCCCTTCCTCTCCCACAAGCTGAGAAGTGAATGAAGCAGCTCTAAGCTACTTGTACAGTTGTAAAAGGCTTGTCACAAACTACAGAAAGTGCCTCATCTGACATTCAGATCTTTTCTACCCAGTGTGGAACCACTGATTAGAATTTTAAATCAAGCCTCACTAGCTAGAGTCTGGGTTAATATCTGGAGTGGAAGAATTCTGGCAGAGGGGACCCTGGCTGATTCTACAGAAGCCCCTCAGGGAGTGGGCTGGCAAGTGTGACTCAAACTGGAGTGTTAAGGACATCAGGTGCCATCAATGGGTTCACAACTATAAACACCAGGGGCAGCACTAAGTAACAGTTATGGCTAACACTAGGCATGGGGGCCTCTCATACAATCCATTCTCCCCTCTGAAATGGGCACAGCAGTCACCCTTTTACAGATGACAGTGGCAACCACTAGCCAAGGTGGGAAGAATAGGACACAGGCAGCCTGATGCCAGAGCCAGACTCTTAGCTGCTATCTATAATGTGCATGTAAAGGTGTCCCCTGAGGAGGCAGAACACCAACAAAGTCCAGAAAGAAGCGGGGTGGGGAACCAGAGAAATAGAGGGAGTGAGCAGAAAATGAATAGTCATCAACAACTCTCCTGAGACCAGTGATTATGGGAAGTGATCTCTGCTCCAAACCTGTTTCTTGGGTGGACAGGACTCTCTAGGAAGTACTGCATGTCTGAAATAAACTCCTACTGGAATTTGTAAATACAGGGCTTCTTTTTTTTCCTCTATGGCTAATCAAAACAAACAAACAAAACCATTGGGTTTCTATCTATGAAATAGTAAAAAATAGTTGCCTTTTACCTCACAGTTTTTAAAAATATGGAACCAGGGAAAGGGAAACTAGTCTTGAGGGCACCCAACCAATGCAGGCTCTTAGCAAGTCTACTATATTCTCCTAAAAACTGTATGGCGTTCTTACCTCCAGTCGACGGATGATTTCCCGCAGAGGAAGTGCTGACTCCTGTCCACCGATGAAAGTAGTAGTGGGTAAGTGGAAGACCTTGTCGAGGTCAGACTCATCCAGGCCATAGAACCCTGCAGATGATGAGGGACAAGGCACAGCCATGCAGGGACCACAGTTTACATAGAAAGGGGAAGGGATGCCCCAGGGGAGCAAAAAGAGAAAAAAAAAATCTTAAAAAAAAACCCTGATATACATGAAAGTAAGTAATATTTTACAGCCAGAAACAGAAACTTTAGCAGTAAGTGGGAGCTGAAGACTACTACTGGGTGTCACAGGTAAACCAGAATAAAGCTCCTATTATTCATGTATTAGTCCAATTATTTATAATTAGTGTACCAATTATTTATAATTCGAGATAAATTTATTTCAAAGTCCCCAAAATAAAAACCAGTTTTGAGAGTGGGAACAGAGAGCCATGAGAAGGCATTGAGAAAGTCAATCAAAAAGCAGAATTAAGAAGGGAATTAAAGTAGGAAACGAGGAATTGATAGAGAACAGCACATCATATATGAGTTACATAACAATAATATGTGTGTATGGTGAGAGAAAGAGCTGGGGGACTAAGAAATGGGGGAGAAACAGTCACCCAGGGGCCGAGCAGCCTATGGAAGAACTGCCAGTCATAGCCACACAGGGCATCAGAAAAGGGGTAAATAGCCCCCACCGGACTTAAATATGGGCCTCTTCCTGGAATTCCCAAACTGAAGTCCTAAAGATGCTCTGCAGAATGTGTTCATAAACACAGGCGTACCCTTTCTCTCCCAGTACAAAACACTCTGAAAAACTCACTAATGTTCACTGGAGTACTCTCTATAGGGAAGATGCCTCCTCATCCAAAAGCATTTTTTTCTGATAGAGAGCAACAATAAAAGGGCTCTATTTTTGGCATTCCATGCTTGTTTCATCATTATTGAAAGAGACTGTAAAATGGTACCAAAGGTTCTTTTTCCAAATTGACATCTACTCTGAAATAATCTATTGACTAGAAAAGGGCAAGAACACACTATAAGAGTTACAAGCACTTGCATACCTCACACCAGCACTTTATGAGGCTCTGGAAATGAAAATTGAACCTGAAAACAAGGACTCTGCAGAGTCTCCAACTACTAAATGGATGAGATGAAATATTCTGTTTCTTGGCCAAATTAAGTGTAAATAAGAGCTGCTGTGAAATAAACATCCACAACTATGGACATGAATCTTTGGGATCAAGTCCAGGTCACCACACATGTTGGGCATATGCTCTACCACTGAGTTACATAACCCAGCCTTTTTTTTAAATTTTGAGACAGGGCCTTGCTAAGTTGCCCAGGCTGCCCTCAAATTTGCAATCCTCCTGCTTAGGCCTCCTGAATAGCTGGGAATACAGATGGACACCACCAAGCCCAGCTTTAGGGTAGGTGTTAAGTCCTAAAAGCAAGCTCTTTTTTGAGTGTTTCCCCCCCCCTTTATTAAAACAAAAGCCAATCTACTTTTTTTAACCTGAAGAATAGTGATGGTAGAAATGGCTTAGTTAAGTTTATCCACCTGCTTCCTCCTGTTAACTCTACCAACAATAAGGACATAACAATCACTGTGCCTGAGTGAAACAAACACCTCTCACCACTTATAGCCCAGCTTGCAAGTAATAGTTTCATGGTATTTATGGAGGAAAAACAAAATTATCTTTGAGAAACTTCTAGCTGATGAAAAAACTCAGGCCAGGGAATAGAGTATCAAAGCAGTGTTTTCTGTTTTGCTTTCCTGGGATTGGAACCCAGGGCCTTACTCATGCTAGGCAAGCACTCTATTACTGAGCTACATCCCAATCCCTTTTTGTTTTATTTTGAAATAGGGTCTTGAAAAGTTCCTGAGGCTGACCTCGAACTTGCATCCAGCCTTCCTCAGTCTCCAGTAATCCCCTAGTTGGGATTACAGACATGCCCCCATTGCACCCAGCTACACTAGTGCATAGTTTGTTTAGAAAATAACTGGATTGCAAAATTAACTAGTCAAGTACATGCCCCTGGGTGAGAACTGAATATTTATTGCACTCTCACAATATAAAGAAATGATAAAGGGGACTCAGCAAATGACAATCTTCTACTTTTAACACTCTGAATTCACAGTTTCTGGGCTGTGTAATGAGCTTCAGAACCACTGGCTCCATTTCTAGTGCTTCAGCCATTTGAGAAATCAAACCTACAAATGGCTGCTTTGGGAAGGTGGAGGTGACATATTTTTCCCTATCCCCCCCTTAAGTATAATTCAAAACCCTGGACATTACATGCAAAACAAACTTAATCCCCTGAAAGGTAGAAAAGGGCAAAACAGCTAGGGAAGTCCCTGGGTTTCCTTCTGCTCCAATATCCCAGATTTGAAGCAGAAGAACCAGCATCTCAGAAATTCTCAGACGTACAAATAACCAACACCCAAAAAAGTTGCTCTCTATCCAAAAGGCCAGGAGTGGGACAGCCTAGCAATACAAAAACCTTTTAGACAATTACATTCTTCATCAGCCAAAACCCCTCAGAAAACACTATGGTCCTACTGCTACACTCACGAGGCTCTTATGAGCCCAACCTCCAATCTTTACCTGGGGGTTTAAAAAATGGTCCACGAGGTAGTCCACATTTCCTCCCTGGGAGATAATGCAGCAGCTCCTAGCTTACCTACAGGAACAAGATAGTGCCTCCTTTCTCTCCCAGCAGAACAATATCCAGAGGAGGTATGCTACTAACAGAAGATTTATATATAAGATTCTAATGCTTATAATTCTTGAAATATCCTAGTTTCAACTTTAAAAAAATCACAAGAGGAATCAGGAATATCTCGGATTGAATGAGAAATGATAACCTACAGACACATCATGATGATGAAGATATTAGAATTACCTAAGATTTTAATGGAGCCATCATAAAATGATTTCTATGAGCACTTTCAAACATAACAGTGACAAAAAGATACTGAGTCACAAAACAAAGTCTTAGGAAAAATTTCAGCTTTGTAAAAAACAACTCACTAGAGAAGTTCAACAGAAGAATCAAGGGTTAGAGAACAATGAATGTGAAGTCAGAGGAATAGAAACTAATGAATACAAAGAAAACAAAAAGTGAACAGAGCCTCAAAGAAATGTGACACACTAATAAAAAAACTGCATACACATATGGATCAAATTCTAGAAGAGAAAGAAAGGGTGGCTAAAAAGGTACATGGAAACTTGCTAGAACAGCAAGCTTAAATCCATGGATTTAAGAAGCTGAGTGAATTCATAGGATAATCCCCCCAAAATACATGCCAAAACACAACATAGTTAAAATATCTGAAAATTAAAAACAAAGAAAAACTCTTGATAGCTCCCATCATAAATAAAGTGACACCTTAACTATAAGAAAAAGCCAATTTGAATGACAGAAAACCTTGGAACATAAAAGGAAGTGGCATCCTTTCCCCCCTTTTTTGGGTAGTACATGAGAATGAACCCAGTGCCTTTGTACATGCTAAGTACATCTTCTACCACTGAGCTATACAACCTGCCCCAAAACATGTTATTTTTAAAGCGACAGTCTTACCGATAGCATGTGATTGGGTCATATAGTTTTTAAATCTACTCTTCTAATAAATATTAATTAGTATATATTTAGACTATCTATCTATCTATTTATTTATTTATTTTGGTGGTAGTGCTGGGGATTGAACCCAGGGCTTTGTGCATATGAGGCAAGCACTCTACGACTGCTATATCCCCAGCCCTGCTATTTTATTTTTGTTTTCTGTTCCATTTTTCATTTCTATGTGTTTCTCCCCTAACTTCCTGAGGCCCAAACATCTTTTTCATTTTCATTTATCTACAGTGTTTCTTTTTTCACATACTAGAGGTTGAATCCAGTGCCTTATAGATGCTAAGCAAATGCTCTATCATTGAGTTATACCACCAACCTCAACATTTTATTTATTTTTAAACACAGACTCAACACATTTTATTTATTTATTTTTCTACATGGTGCCAGAATTGAACCCAGTGCCTCAGACATATTAGGCTAGGCAAGCACTCTACCACTGAGCCACAACCCCAGCCCAGCAACACATTATTTTTTAAAAATATTTTTTAGTTGTAGTTGAACACAATAGATACTTTTATTTATTTATTTTTATGTGTTGCTGAGGTCCTTGCATGTGCTAGGTGAGCGCTCTACCACTAAGCCACAACCCCAGCCCCTCAGCACGTTATTTTTAAAGTGATTATCTTAAAATAGTGACCGACTGTCTTATTTATGGTTGGATCATATATTTTTAAAATCTACTCACATATATTTGCCTTCTAATTAATGCATTTAGATGATTTATATTTAATATAGTTGATACTATGTTGGGACTTAAGTATGCCATTTTATTTTTAATTCTTTGTTCCATTTTTAATTTCTCTGCTTTTCCCCCTGCCTTCATGTAGGTGGGTTAAACATTTATTTGTTTTTTGGTTTTGGTACCAGGGATTGAACTCAGGAGTGCTTTACCTCTAAATCACATTCCCAGCACTTTTGATTGAGACAGCTTCCCTAAGTTGATGAAGCTGGTTTTGATGTGGAATCCTCCTGCCTTAGACCCCTGAGCTGCTGTGATTACAGGCATGAGTGAATTAAATGTTTTTTTAATAATTCCTTTTTTATTTATGTATGGTGGGCTTTTTTCTTTTGTTTTCTTTGTATTACTAGGGATTAAATCCAGAGACTTGCACATTCTAGGAAAGTACTCTACCACTGTGCTACATCTTCAGCTCTTTTTATTTTATTTTGAGACAGGGTCTCTCTAAATTGCCCAGGTTGGCCTTGAACTTGCAATCCTCCTGTCTCAGTCTCCAGAGCACTTTGGATCACAGGTGTGTGCCATCACACAAGACTAGTAGCACACTTTTCAATAGCTGAAAGAAAATATCCAAAAATATACTGCAGGAATGAAGAAGAAATCAAGAAATTCTTAGACGAAGGAAAATTAGGTCTGCCCTAAAAGAATGGTCAAAGGAAATTCTTAGAAAGAAAACAACAAATTGAATTGTAGAAAGAATTAAATATACATATACACACACAAAAAAAGA